ATTGTAAAATATTTCAAGATTTATAGGGTAAAATAACATTAAATTTAGTTGTTATAATCATATGTATTAGATTTAGAGACTAGTTTCTTTTTTCTTAATTTTATTTAATTCTTTATTCTAAATTTCTAATTTTTTGTACTTTATTTTACTTTTTTTTATAAGTTTTTGTTTGAAAATCATTAAATAATATATACGGTCAAAATGAGATTTTAGCCAAGTTAATTTTTTTTTTTATAGTTTTGATAAAGTTGTTAAATCTATTAAAAAAATTAACATGGTTGAAAGAAATTAATGAGTTTTTTAGCCTTCTAAGTTGCTTTAATTAAGACGGTTAGTAACCACTAATTTCCACGATATTGTCCACTCTGAGCATAAGTTTTCGTTGCTTTGTTTTGGGCTTCCTCAAAAGGCCTTATGTCTCTACGATATTGTCTACTTTGAGCATAAGCTCTCATTGTTTTGTTTTGGGCTTTCTCAAAATGCCTCGTACCAGTAGAGATGTATTCCTTACCTATAAAGTTATAATCATTCTCTAAATTAGTGGGACTCACTCCCAACAATCCTTAACAATCCTCCCATCAGACAAAGTACACTACTATGGAGCCCTTAATTGAGACTTGCAATTTTTTTGTTCGATATTTGAGGATTCTATTGTCATGACTATGTTAGGGCATGACTCTGATACCATGTTAGTAATCATGAATCTCCACAATGGTATGATATTATTCACTTTGAGCATATAAGCTCTCATGACTTTGTTTTGGGCTTCCCAAAATGCTCATGCTAATATAGATGTATTCTTTATCTATAAATCTAGGGTCATTACCTAAATTAGCCAATGTGAGATTTACTCCCAACAATTCTCAATCAAAATTAGTGAATGAATTAACATAAATTAAAGTTTAAAACTTTCCTTTAATAAAATTAAAAAAATTTGAGTGTTTATTGAAAATATATGGTAAGAATTATAAATATTATTATTATTTTTTTAAATTTCACATCCATTAACGTGTAAAATTTGAAGTTATATAACTTGTTTGTTATGTTTGAGCTTAATAATAATTACAAAAAGAAAAAAAAAACCATCTTGAACGTTATTTATTTTATAATATGAGTGAACTAAAAAATTTATAATATATTTGATTTAAGAAAAAAAAAAAAAAGTTAAGATGTTTATTTTTTAAAGGGAAAAAGGTAATATTATTAATTTGTTTCTAAGTCAAATAAAAAACAGTGATTTACTTGTGTAATTCAAAATCAAACTTTTTAAATATATTTTTTATATTTTATATTTTATATTTTAGTACAAAAAAATGTTGGAATATGAGAATTTTAATGAAAGAATACATGTTTTATTAAGACATAAGCAATATTAAAGCAAGCTCAGTATATTCTAGCTTTCGAAAAATATTTTAAAATTAATTATATTTTTATAAGTAAGAAAAAAAAAGGATTAATCTCGTTGAAATACAAATATAATTAGAGAAAAGCAGAGAACAAGGATCTGAATCTTAAACTACCGAAGCGACTAAGCGAGTTTAACTTCAAACTCCACCATCGAAAAATCCGAAAATTGTATTCCGAATGGAGAAGGGCAAAGGTTTGATGGTTGACGGTCGGCGATGGGCCGTCGATTTCACCGACAATTCGTCGTCGAATTCGACTCGCGATATTCCTGATCCTCCCGGTTTCAATCGTGCTTCTCAAGATCAGGACGATTCGACTCTCAGCCGCCAGAAGAAGGACGCCGAGTCCAATTGGAAGGCACAGGTGTTACTCGGAATTCTATTATTTTGGTCGATTAGGGTTTTTGTTTTCTGGATTTTGTCTATTCGATTGTGTTTTGTGATTGTTCGTGCTTAATTTTTCGGTATCTCGCTGAGCGGTAGTTCTTAGGCGGGATTAGCGAGATTTGAAGTAAGAAACTATCGATTATCTCCTTTTTAGAGGATTTCGGTGGCGAGATTGCATATTAGTGGAAACCTTGTGCTGTTTGTTTGATTGCTTAATGACGGAATTTCGAGAGTTGAGTGCAATCTCTCACCTTCTTAAGCATTTCCGATGGAAAATTCTTTGTCGAATCTGTAAGCCGTTTAGCTGTTGGAAAAAATTCAAACAACTCTCCAAGGTGAAAATCACACATGTTTTACAAAAGAAAAAAGTTCGTAAGATGAAGGTCTTGAAATTTGGTTCTAAGTATATAAACTCTCTTTTAACCACTAATCGTTTTTATTTTCTTGTGAAGAATTTCTGTCCATGTTGTGAATCGTTTTTATAGTTCCAAGTGTTTATTAACGAAGACTCTGGTTCTGAATCTTCGTTCCATGATGTTTAATCTGCGTCTTTGTTCTCATGCTGTTTCTTTACCATAAAGAATTTGATTATCAAATGAAGTACAAACCTTAAAATATGTGAGCAGAAAGCTTGGGAAGTGGCACAGGCGCCTTTGAAGAATTTGTTCATGATGGGCTTCATGATGTGGATGGCTGGAAGCACTGTTCATTTATTTAGCATTGGTATCACATTTTCAGCTCTTTGGCAGCCCATAAGTGCCCTGCAAGGCGTTGGAAAGGGTAGGATTAATGTCCATTTTTTTGCCAACTTTACTTCATGTTTGTTAGTGCTAAGCTGGCTTTTAAGAGATCTTCCAACGACGCGAGTCTCCTTATTAGTGTATTCTACATAAAGAGGCATTTTTAGGAGAATAATCATGTTTCTTGTTTCATTTTTTTGGTTGCTTGGACCTTCTAAGTTCTTTGTTGTTGATCAAGTTTCTTTTATCAGCAGAGTCGGAAAAATGTTAAGCTTAATTCTGACTGTTGTGTTTGTAGAATCGCTATATAAGATACATATTTGTGAACTAGGAAAAATAATAGAATTCATGGATGTTGACGATTTGATTCCAGTAGGTTTAGCTTATTGTTGCCTGTTACTATTGATATATCTTCTCGCTGCAGTTTTTGAGCCTTACAAGGACAGTAAAGTAGATCTTCTTGGACCGAAGTTGCTGTTTATTGCCCTTAACCTTGGAGGATTAGCATTAGGTGTTTGGAAGGTGAGTTTTCTAATTATTATTATTATTATTTTTGTCCTTGTCTTATGTTTTTATCACTTAATCCCTTATAAGTTCTTAGCATCTCTCTAGCATTTGGTGATCACTGCTTAATTCTCCCGTATTTCGAATGTGGCTTTTGCAGCTTAACACATTGGGGCTTTTGCCAACTCATATATCAGACTGGGTTTCATCTCTGCCACCTGCTCAGGTCAGAATTTACTCGTATCCTAATATGATTTACTTCCTTTTCTCAAAGCTTTCAGAAATGATATATGGAATTTGTTATATTTATCTTGTTGGGCGTCATGTTTCAGTAATGCTTGGTTCCAAATCTTGTGCTTAACTAGTAGTCACGGTAGTCAAATGGGAGAGTTCTCTGTGTTCAGTCATCTTGAAGTCGATGACTTCAAATCGTGATGATCGTCTATTAATAGTATTAATATTCTATTAGTTACTCGAATCTAAATGCTATCGGATTAGCGTTTGTGTAGTGCAAAATTAGGTAAGGTAGGAACACTTGGACATCCACGAAAGTATGGGGAAAAAATCCCCATGCTTTCGTTTCTCTTAGGATGCAAGTTCTGCTAATAATCAAGCAATATTCGTCAATTGGTTTGGTTGATAGGATTTCTAGGCCATCTATTTTGTATACTTTGTCTAAGAGAGTTTAAAGGGATTTTAATGTGGATGAGTTGCGATTACTAATGATTGGCAGTGGAAAGGTTAGCGGTAGTAAGCTAGATTGTGTACCGTTATTTAGTTAGGTTCGATGGGAGAAAATAGGAGAAGGGAAAAGCCAACGTGAGCATAACTTAACCGGTTTAGGCATTAGCATTTCTTGATCAAATCCCCTGCTGGCAAAGGCTTCAAACTAAGGTATGAGAACATGGACAGGGGTGTTTATCTCCTCGGCGAACTTCTCGAGCCTAATAAATAGTCGTCCTCGTGGTAAAAGTTTTGCATCTCGGGGACTTAGACGAGGGAAAGAAAAGGAAAAAAAACAAAAAAACAAAAAAAGAAACCTTTTGGACTTGAAAGGTAGCACAGATTTTTATCAGTGGCAGCATCTTGGAACATAATCTCTATGATATTAGTTCTTCAATCCATTGTAGCATTGCTAAAGAATTCACGGTCTTCCTTTTCAGGAGGTCGAATTTTCGGGTGGTGGCTTTCCTCTTCGTTAAGATGCACACGACTTCCTGTGAAACTAACAGAGGAAAACATGGATCTGCCTGTTGATGATCGAATTTCGCAAGCAGATTGCTCGTGTTGTGCATTAACATGATGATATCTCTTTGTATTACGCCTGCATGGATTATAGATTGTGTTGGATCAAGAACAATGTTACAGATGTGCTGCTGAAGGCACAGCTATTATTTTTATGGTACACTCTGTGTTATGTTTTTTCCCCAAGCTAGTTTCTGGTAGTAGAATGAGACTTACGGATAAAACCATCCCATAGTATATGATTAATATTTTTGATATTTTAACATTCAAATAAAATTTATAAACCTTAGATTATATTATAAGTAGTATTAATTTTGTTTTTTTTAAAACAATATTCCCAAGAGGAGAAATCATAAATATGACGTAATTAATCCAAAAAATTGAATTTTATTTCCCATCCATGGACAAAATGGGTTCATTTATACAAAATACCATATTACTAAATTTAAATTTTGTACTTTTATTTTTAAAATTTTAAATTTGTTTCCAAACTATTATTTTGTAAACATTTTCATTAAATTAAAAAGAAAAATGTGATGCGACGATAATTTGTAAAATAACGTTGGCCTTAGGTAAATTTAGCCTGTAAATATACATTTTTCAGGTCACTGTGGTATAAATGGGCCCGGCCCAGCTAATTTGAAGCACCGAGAACTGTGCTCTAAATGGGCTCGGCCCATCTAATTTGAAGCCCTGAGATGCATACAAAGATAAATTGAGCGAGAGGCAGAAGTTGCCTGTGTGGCCGAACAGCTCTGGAGTTTTTCGCTCTTATCTCGGATTAGGTTTGGCGAAACTCTTTGCAGTTCCCGCTTCTCGGTAGAGACGTAACAGACAGGTAAAAGCTTCTTAACTCCTCATCTCAATGCCTTTCCGTTGAAATCATTTCTTGCATTTCTTCTCTCTGTTTTTCTCTTCGCCATCGGAGAATGCCGTTCTTCGACTGTAAGCCTATTTTTTTTTTTTTTCTCCCTATCATAACGTTCAGGCTTTGTATTGAATATGATCGAAGCATTTTTGGCTTCGGATGCAATGCCGCGTAAGAAATGGTTACTAAGAGAGCTTCGTTCGCAATAGAAGCATTGACAGGTATCAAACGTTTTTGGCTTTGGCTTCATAAATGTGTAGTTATAAGATTAGTTCACAATAGAAGCATTCCTCTTTCAATTTTATTTTTAAATTATAATTATTTTCTTATTATTTCTCTGCATGATTTTCAATTTTTCTTAAAAAATAGTTAGGCTAAATTAATAAAAATTACCTTAAATTTTATTCTTTCTCTCAAAAAAAAAAAAAAAAAAATCTAAAAAATACCAACTTTTAAAAAATTTCAAAATTAACTATAACATTAATTTTAGTTTTAAAAAAGAATAATGTTGTTAAAAGTTACATTAATACTAACTTTTAAACTTTTATAACAAATTTAATCTACGAAGGATAGTTGTTTTCGTCTGTTAAATCTTTTTAAAACTTTTTTTATAAAGTAAAAAAGTTGGTAAGTATATTATTGGTGGTAAAGTTTTTTTAATTTTTTTTTTAAATTTGAAGGTTATTAATATTTTTTTTAAAAAAAATTTAAGATTATTTTTTAAAACAAAATATTAATAATTTTCATCTAAAACTAACATTAAATATATTTTAAGAATATTAAGTCAAATACAAATTTTTTTTGTTAATCTAACATTCTACACAAATTTAAAAAACAAAGCAAATTTTTAAAAACAATTTTACTTTTTTAGATATCAAAACAAGTATTTAAAATAAAAAATAAAAATAAATCAAATGATGCTTGAAAGATTAGATGAGTTTCATTTGCACAATTTTTGTGGTCTAAATCAACTCTTTTGCTCTCGCTTTCTTCTCCGTCAATAAACGCAGTGAAAATGGACATAGTCAATGGTGAGTGCTCTGCCACTACCCTATACCCTAAACCCTAAACACTAAACAAAACCCTAAACCCTAAACGAAACCCTAAACCCTAAACATTATGCAGCGTCAATGGTGGGTGTTCTGCCCCTACCCTCTCTGGCATCAGCTGACTGAAAAAGAAAAATTTAAATCATCGACGCCCTTGGCCGCATTAGGACGGGAATTAAAAGAAATGGCAGGACGAGAGCAAAGAGAAGGCAAAAGGGTAAAGATAGTGGAGAATTTTTATAACAAAAAAGGTCTAGCAAGGGTTAGAAGAAAACATGCCAGGGAGATTAGGCCGTAAAAAAAAGCCTAAAATATTCTCCCAAGACATTTATTTTACTTGAGTTGTGCTCTCATGCATACTTCCCACACTAATATTTTTAATTCTCAAAATACCTCACTATAAGAATAAATAGGGTTCCTCACTATAGGAACAGAAATGTACATACTCAAAGGTTAACTCGCATTGGATGAGCCTCTATGACCGTAAAAGCAATTTAAACTTCTTCTTCAGCTCTAGATTTTAGGCGGCCACAAGCCTTTGAATATCTTTCTGAAAAACAGAAAACGTAATCAGAATAGCTAAAGTTTATGGAAGTGTTTTCAACTGATAATCACTTTGTTTTCCAGCATGGTTAGCCTGGTTGGCTGTGGATGCATGGCCCGTGACAAACAAGAACTGAAAACATATTTAGGGATTCGGCTCAAAATTGGGGGACATTTCTTATAAATGTATACAAAATATTAGGGGAGGAAGGACTGATTCTTTATGAGTTAGTGACTTGGGAAATATGCATTGAAAAAGTTAAATGGAGAGAGATGAACAACACTATGAGATCCCACGTCGATTGGAGAGGGGAATGAGTGCTAGCAAGGATCCTGGGTCCCGAAGGAAAGGTGGATTGTGAGATCCCGCATCCGTTGGAGAGGATAACGAAATATTTTTTAAAAGGAGTAGAAACCTCTCCCTAGCTGGAAATGTCTAAAGGGAAGGCCCAAAGACGAAACATTCTTTGAAAGGGGGTAGAAACCTCTCCCTAGCTGGGAAGGCCCAAAGACGAAACATTCTTTGAAAGGGGTAGAAACCTCTCCCTAGCTAACAGCTAACAGACAGGGGAATGTTTAAAGGGAAGGCCCAAAGAGAATAATATCGGCTGGCGGTTACAAACACAATTTAATAGCAAAAACTAATGCAACTATATTCATAAGGTCCCCCAAAAAAGGGGGAAAAATCAGTCATACCTCAATTTGAAGAGGGGATGTCGTTGGTGGGTATCTCTCAATAACATTACCATTTTTGTCCAACAAAAATTTCTCGAAGTTCCACTTGATAAAACCGCCTAAGAATCCTCCAGCACTTGATTTGAGAAACTGATAGAGTGGGGCAGTATTTGGACCATTGACATCAACCTGATGTGCAGCAACAATTGTATTACTATTTTGCCAAGTTCACCTTATAAAGCGTTCCGTGACAATACGTGCAGTTGGTGTACCTTGTCAAATATTGGGAACTCTGCTTTGAATCTTGAGCAGGCGAACTGCTTGATCTCTGGGTTGGACCCAGGTTCTTGGCCTCCAAATTGGTTGCAAGGAAAAGCCAAAATCTCAAATCCTTCCCTCCCAAACAAACACACACACAGATTGAGATAAATTCAGATGTAAGTGAAAGCTAACCTAACCAAACAACATGAGTAAATTGCGCACAGCCCGTAAGTATATGCAGTATACACCAAGTAGAAACCGATTCTCTTAACTAGACACCGATAGCCTGAAACTTCTAACTACACTACAAACTAGTCAGGTATCATTAGACTCCAAGCTCCAAAATACATAATCTACATGGATGCTATTATTGTGCGTTCTTGCAAGCTCTTGGAATAGTACATGTAGTAACAAGAAAGGTTCATACATTCGCTAGGGATATGTCCAGCCTAGCAGAGTTGATATCATTTTTCATTCTAGAAACGCCTAGATAGAAACGAACTCGAAATGGATATCGGTGTAACAACTTATCGAAGCATATTGACCCAAAATTAGGCTAAACTATCCTGTCCCCGTTTCAGTAACCATCTTATAAGCAAACGAAAGGCAGCCATTGATGGAAAAACAAAGCTATGTCAGATTGGCTGGAATAACTCGGTAAGTAAATGGTATTCTTTCTCCTGAACCTCTGTCAAAGGACAGAAGTGCAGAGTTGGAAGTGAAAGAGTCAATGAATTAGCTGCAACTTTATCAATAGATAGAATAGGTTCATGAGCTTGACCTTCTGCTCAACCTATTTACATCCAAGGTGCAAGAGTGAGGGTGTTCTTTGGAGTGACAATATATACTGCAAAGCCCTAACGAAAACACTTCCATACCTTGAGCTTTGTACTTCTCATACAAGTGTGACAGTTCTGAGTAATTTCCAGTCGCGAAACCACTGTCATTAACAAGATAAATCTTCAATGAAATGATCAACATACAAATTCTTGATCATCTTTTCAGGAAAATCAAGTTGCATAATTTAAATCCAAGTATTGAGCCTAAACAGATTTAGCTAGGGTTGAATACCATCTAGATGCAACGTTTACTATCAGAAGAACCTTCCCTTTGAAATTGTTCAGAGAAACATCTTTGCCATCAATATCCTGCACCAGAAAACAGTCCTTACACTCCGCAAACATTCAAACAAAATCCATTTTGAAATTCTCTAATCGGTCTGATTCATAGTTATCACCAGCATCAATGCTTGCTGAAGTGAATATCAAACGAATTTCACAACAATTCTAAAATATGCACAGACAAACAAAACAGTAGCCAAACCATAATCCGCCACTCCCGATGAACAACATTGAAGAATTACTGATCAGACGAAAAAGAATTATGAGTAAACAGAAAAGCACCTTAACAGTGAAATCATAAATACTTTTCTCCGACGCCGCTCTCGCAGTTACACCACAAATTTGAGCTTTCGAGAAAACACCGCGAGAAGATGACGACTGGAGAGTCAAATCATTGCGCATAAAAGCTGACTTTGTAGCGCCGAGCGAGGTTTTGACGGAGGGAATCGAAGTAGCCGCCATGGAAGGCCGCGAAGCAAGGAAATAGCAGAAACCTGTTCTGGATTGTGAACAGACATTGAAAGGAGACGAGAAAGTGGCGGAGAAAGACATGAAAGCTCTGTGAATGTGGTGGGTTAGGAATTTTGGTGTGCGAGTTGCAGGGCGTTTAACAGTGCCATTTTCCTAGGGAAGGATTTTAAACGTGGGAAATGATTTTACACGTGTTAAACTTAACATCTAATGTCGTTTTTCTCTTAAATGTTATGTATTTGATGTTAATAGACATGTTCATTTAACATGCGGAGATAGAGTCTCGTGAAAATTCTCCTCGAATGAGGCATAAAGAGGGAGTGGGGTGCAATTCCTCCCATTAGTTATGAGGTCGGAGGCTCGAGAATAACGATTGAAATAGAAGGCTAAGATGGGAAGGTTTTTCGTTCACGCCTCCCCTGTGGACATTTCTACCTACATATGTCATGAAATTTATTAAACACGAAAGATAATATTATTCTAAAAGTTAATTTGGAATAAAATTGTAATATAATTTTTAAATTTTTTATTGAAATTGTAATATATAAAAGATGAAATTTTTAAACTTTAATTTTTTTTTCACTAATTTTTTTTATTTTAAAAAATAAGGTAAATTTGGTTCAATTAACTTAAATAAAGAAAATTATTAATGACACCAATTTTAGGCACCAAACTTTGAATGTGGAAGCTTTCAAATGTTTGGATATAGGTGTGGACAGTTGTGCATTTATACTCCTTCCAAAAATGGGAAAAGAAATGTCCATGCATTTACAATGAATTATTTGCTGTAAAAGTCAACTATATCTATATGGGCCAGCGAAATCAAGCCCACAATGCAATATCCAGGCCCATTTTCTAGAAATTATATTGGGCCAGAATAAACCGATTAGGCCCATATGCTCTTCGTAAAATTCAGCTATATCTATTTGGGCTAGTACAATAAAGCCCACAAAACAGTATCCAGGCCCATTTTCTGAAAATTATATTGGGCCAGAATAAACCGATTAGGCCCCGGCCCATGGTGTAAAAGTCAACTATATCTAGGTGTACCTTCAACCCGACAACCCGGACCAACCCAATCCAAACTAAGGGTTGGGTTGGACAAAAGTCAACTATACCATGCGCAAATGTTGATATTTTAGTTGTTTTTAGTTTTATGACAATATTTAACTACGTTAATATGTTACTATTTTCGTTTCTTATTTTTTACTGAACTTTGTTGTGAATAATTATAGATGGATGGTAAACTTTTAATTAAAGACTCTATCTGAATAATTATAAAGGTAGATAAATAAAACTTTTTTAAAAAAATAATTTTTTTTAACAATCCCACAACCCGAATATAGAGGGTTGGGTTGGTATGCAAAAAATTTTCGGGTTGGGTTGAGTTAACAATCCAACCAACCCGAAATTTTGGGTCGGGTAAAAGAAATCGTTCAACCCAATCCAACTCAATCCAGACCATGTACACCCCTAGCCCAATGGGCTAGCAAAATTAAGCCCACAAACAATATCCAGGCCCATTTTCTTAGAATTCTATTAGGCCACCGGCCCACAAATAACTACTGTATTTTTTTTTCTTTCTTTTTAAGTATTTAATTGAATTTGGAATCGGCTTTCAGGGAATAACAATGAAAGAGACGGAACGGATTAGATTTTAATTGTTATAAAATTAATTACCGAAAAGAAAAAGAAAAAATGGTTAATAAAAAGAAATTGATTAATTAGAAAAGGGAATAACGGCAACAATAAGGGTTTCTTTGGAGCTCGCGTTTCTCCTCACTCACCCCATTTTTCTCTTTGCAGCTGCGAAGAGATTCAGAGAGAGACGAAGGTAGAGATAGAATCCCGACTCTGTCTCTATCTGTCGACAACAATCGAACATCCTCCATCTCAATTCTCTCCGTTTTCTCCGCCATCAACGATTCTTTCTGTCTTAATCTCTCTTTCTCTCTCTCCTAATCCCTCTCTTTCCTAATCCCTCTCTTTGACGCTCAACAACGAATTCCTCGGTCGAGTTATGCAGGAAGATAAGTCGGTGATAAGTTTGAGACCAGGTGGTGGCGGTGGCGTTCGTGGAAGCAGATTTGCTACTACTCGCTTCGATTCATCCTCTGCCGATTCTTCGTCGCTTCGTCCTCATGGCGGCGTTACGCTAACCCTTAAGGTCGGTTTATTATCCATACAGCGTTAGGGATATGGTTTGCGTGATGTGTATATGCGTATGGATTATTTTTGGGGTCGTGGTGTATTTATGTTCTTTTTATTGTGTGGATTTGTTCATATAGATCTAGAATGTATCAAAGTGTTATCTTTTTCCCGTTTTGACGTTGTTTTCTCTGGGTTTTGTGCCTTACCACTGTTCACGTCACTTGTTTTTAAATTGTCCTGCTCTAAGTGTCAATTGAATCAACGGGTATTGTAAAATTTGACGAATGTTTAGTTGGCCTTGGGTATTGGTTGACGTCGTTTTGTATTTTTCTTGTTAAAGATTTTTAGTTGATAATAGCTTATAGCTTCTAGCGTTCATGTTAATCGTGATTTCTTGATTTCTTCTATAAAGTGATATTGTCCTAATTCTTGCCAGGGCACTCAAGTACGTGTACCTGATGTAAATATGGACATAGAATATTATGTAGGATTTTAGGTGGGCATAGCTCGAGTTAACGATGCCCATAAAGAACCTACACTACATATTGAATTACAAAATTTCTGGAAATTGATATTTAATTGGATATGGGGCATTGATTTCAATCCGCAGAAGTTTATTATGTTAATGAAGTAGCCCAGAAGCCCATTTTTTTAGTCTCTATGGACTGTAATTCTGTGTATGTGTGCATGTATATACAAGTCGTATATCTATGCCTTTGGGTCATGCATTCAAAACACGATGATAACCATTTTATGAGGGATCCGTAAGTTGTAAATATAAAGTTAGGCCATTTTTTTCACATTAGTTGAGGGGTCCTTAAGTTGTTGCAGGAACTTTTGATTATTAATTAAAGTCTGTCGTGAGAAATTCTCTATCTACATTTAGGGATGCCTTGTAGTCCACTTTTTGTTATAGTTCTAAGTAATCCCTTATTCTAGATCAATTGTACAACTTTTATGATGTGTTTTATTATATCTCGTCTAATAATTATATCTGTCTACTTGTTTTAGATTGGAGATCTACGGTTTGAAGGTCGTGAGCGAATCCAGTACACTCGAGACCAGATTCTGCAGCTTAGAGAGGTACTTGTTCATTTACCTGTACCGAACGCTTGTTTAGTTTAATTGGCTAATGCTTTTTGTTGGTGGAAAGAAAAATAACCCTTTTCTTTGTTATGTCATATTTAGTTCAAACAGTGGCTTTGCTGGGATCATATTTATCATCATATACAATCACCACATGTATAGATTGTCGATGAGCATTTTTTTCTTCTCAGGTTGTAACAGTCCCTGAGGATATCTTGAAGGTCAAATTAGAAGTCGAGACAGAGATTTTTGGGGAGGATCAAACATGGGCTCGTGCTGAAAACATTGTATGTTTAATATTTTTGTGATTAGTAACATCCATTTTGGAACAGAAGGAAAAATTTTCTTTTCTGTGTCATTGGTATGGATCAGTTCATGACTCAGAACATTAAGTTACTGTGTTGTAATCATAATCATGCCTGAACTATTCCTTTACATTCTTCTTTCCATACAGACACGCCCACACATACAACCTTGTTGAACTTTAATTACTCATATGTTCCTATTTTCTTCAGCAGCAATCGCAATCTCAAGGTCGTTACTTTGAGCCAGACAATCGAGATTGGCGTGGTCGATCTGGGCAGTTACCTGCCTCTGCAGAGGAAGGATCTTGGGATGCAATTCGTGAGGATAAGGATTTATCAGGTCAATCTCAGTCGAGGTTGCATGACTCTAATAATAGGAGTCAAGCTTCTGGTAACCAAGGGGTATTAATTTTTTATCAATTTTACTTAATCCATCTTGAGGTTATATCAATTTTGTTATTATATACTCATTATTGTTTTGGTTCATCTCTCTTTAAATTTTACATTTGAAGGGTTATTATGGGGTCTTCCATCTATTCTATTCACACAAGCTCTACGTTTGACATAAGTTCTAAAATGAGCTCCTTTCTCAATCTGCTGACCTGGCATTGTTTTTTTTTCCTGCGCTAATAGGTTGGTACTGCACCTGCCCTCATCAAGGCCGACGTTCCTTGGTCAGTTAGAAGAGGTAATATCTCAGAAAAGGAACGTGTTTTGAAGACAGTGAAAGGGTAACTATCATTCCCCAGATTTAGTATTTCACAGCATATCATGGAATATTGGAAATTAAGATAATATTTCCTCTTCTGTTTTTTACAGTATACTTAATAAGTTGACTCCAGAAAAGTTCGACGTACTGAAGGGTCAATTGATTGACTCTGGAATTGTGTCCGCTGATATTTTGAAGGTTCCTACTATTGCATCTAGTTGTGCTTTGAGATATTTTGTTAGATAATGGACTAACATAATTTTAGTTATGGAATATAGGAGGTTATATCACTTTTATTTGAGAAGGCCGTGTTTGAGCCCACATTTTGCCCGATGTATGCACTTTTGTGCTCTGACCTTAATGACAAGCTTCCTCCATTCCCATCTGATGTTCCTGGAGAGAAAGATATCACTTTTAAACGTGTTCTTTTAAACATTTGCCAAGAGGCATTTGAAGGTGCTGAGCACATAAGGGCAGAAATCGGGCGGCTGACTGATCCTGAGCATGAAATGGAAAGAAGAGATAAGGAAAGAATGGTTAAGCTTCGAACTCTTGGAAACATTCGCCTGATAGGTGAGCTTCTTAAACAGAAGATGGTGACTGAAAGGATTGTTCACCATATTGTTCTGGTAATTATCAGTACCCGTCTGTTTAGAGTTCTTAATGTTCTTTGTTCTGAATGGCCTGTGTTGTTAATTCGATTTTTTAAAAATCAGGAGCTGTTGGGGTCCGACAATAACGTATGCCCTGCTGAGGAGAATGTTGAGGCTATTTGTCAGTTTTTTAACACAATTGGCAAGCAAATGGATGAAAGCCCAAAATCTCGGCGGGTCAATGATGTATATTTCAGCCGGTTGAAGGAACTCGCTGCAAACACTCAACTAGCACCTAGGTTGAGATTTATGGTCCGTGATGTTCTTGATTTACGGGCCAATAATTGGGTTCCTAGGCGTGAAGAGGTGAAACTTTTTCTTTTAGTTAAATATTTATTGTCTTAGAATTTCTTTGGTTGTGTTACTTTATATGGTCCTCTTATGTTATGCCTTTCTGCATTTCCCTAGTCTTGTATGTATGCCTTGAGATAATATTGGTGGCTACGTTTCCATGTAATAATTTATCATGACAAGTTCAATGGTTTTTTGGGCCAAAATCCCCTGAGGATCAATTTGCT